GTGCCCTCTCATTCATTCTGATAAGTGGCAACATGGTTGGGACAGGCACGGCCCTCTGTCTACTGTACAGTATGGATCATGTGAAGCCCGGGAAAGGTCGTATTCCCCTACGAGACCAGCAATGTGGACAGCTGAATCGTTGGAGATAGGTTCGTATGTTTCAAAGGTTGTTGTGTTTGGTGGAAAAGGCGAGCACTACCGACTGTCTCTGGAAAGTGTTGAGCAAAGGGTTCGAGACCGAATGATGAGAACCATGGCCGCCATCAAGGAAGCTCCATCATTCATTCCAAAACAGTGGGAAACTGTTAAGTTATCTCCAGATGTCGAGAAGATGTTAAAGGCAGTGGGTCTGGATGGTATAACGGTGGTCAAGGTTGAGATGAGTCGATGGAAGCCAGCTGTTGATAGCCAAAGCCCACCAGCAAAGAGGAGATCAATGTCGCCATTCTCTACTTCTTCCCTACTGTCAATGCCTCCTATTCTCTCACCATTACATGAACCAGACCTTGATTTTTATGATGTAGAACCAGAGTCGCCACATAAACAGCCTCTTTCTCTCTTAAATATTTACAAGTTCTCAAAGAAAATCGTCTAGCGCCTGTTTGTTATGATTACATGTATAGTATGACGTGAACATCGATGATGTCATTTGCAAAATAAATTATGACGTCACTTCATTTAGTTGGTGCTAAAACTATTCGCTATCTAATTTATTCGTAATTGAAATCGAAATAATAAATAAATAATTTTCGCATATTGATTCAAGACTTGTAAGGGTATGAGATTACATTGTAGAATTCACATGCTGATGAAAATGCTCGAATATAAGCAATTGAAAAAAGTTCGTTAAAATGGGCGGGGCTAATTTTTGATATCAGGTTAATTACTGACGTGATATCAAAAATAATTATTAGGCAAGTGTTTTTGGGAAGTTACCATAGCAGTTGCATGATAAATATAAATCTTGATCAATTACTATCTTATATTAAGTTCGCCCGGTGTTTCTGTTAGGTAGTGATAGACATCAGGCCAGTTTGTTGGAATATTTATCTATAAGTCTGCAGGCAAATCGTAGGGGCAAATATCTAGTCCTAAAACAGACAGTTTTGTATTGCAGCGTGAAAACGCCACAAGATCATCTTGTTGTAAATATTCAACATATGGCATTGTTGAAACTTAATTAATTATTCAGACTCATAAATTAAAACTGTTTCTCCCAAGCTATCAATAACGGAAAGTCTATCACTTTACGATTCAAAATAAATAATTTCCAACACAATATTGGGCTAGAACTATATCTAGATCCGCTAGCTCTTATTTATAAATAAATCTTAGAATTTCATTAATTTATAGCGAGCTCGACGAGCTGACCCGAAGGGCTTTACGGTAACGCGAGTACCTGCTAAATGATGGTTTTGAAAACTTTCGTCCGAAGTACCAAATTGGACACATCGCAACTTTTCGAATTACAAGATAACGATAAAAGCCGATGTACTCTGAGTAGACTGGTGTCCTGCGCACTTATATAACAACCATTATAGAAAGGGGGAACCAGAATAAATGGAAGCAGTGTATAAAATAGCAAATGACAATTTTAAAACGGAAAATGTAAAATAAAAATGAACGATTATTTCAAACTATCTTACGGTGAAAGAAAATCGAGCTCGCTTTGAGGCTGTGCCTTTTTCATATTACTTACTTAAAAGGACGTGACAGTACACGAAAATACCCCGAAAAGTGTGCTCTTTTATGATGTTTTATGATATCATTATATATATATAGAGATATACATATGTTTTTTCTTAACTGTATGACATTATTATTGTATCATGTGCTATGTTCCTAAATGTATAAATAAAAAGAATAAGTTAGGTTAATTAAGTAATATCTTGCATTAACCTGAGTTAATCCTACTATAGAGCTATATAGCACTGCCAGTTCTAAATATATCACTGAAATGTTATGCATTTTTTATTGCATTTTAAATGTTTTTCCGAAAAAAATCTCAATAAAATGTAATAACCTAGATCTAATGCATTATTTGTTCACTTAGTTTGTCTAAATTCAACAAGAATAAATAAGTATTTTTTTTCAATGAACATAATTATTGTCTGAACAACAGTGTGGTGAAAAACCAATTCCAAGAATTTTCAAACAAAAAAAAGTGAAACATTTAAATGAAATCCATCAAGAACACGATTACTGTACAGCAGTAAATATTGATTCACATGCTACAACACAAGTAGATTTACTCCTTCCAATTCTGAGCATTTGCATATATGCAGGATCATAATTATTATGCAAAACCTTACAGTAAAGTTCTAGGGAAAGAAAAACTGACGGTTCAAGAAAGAATGAAAATGCTTTTATAGCCACATTTTCACCGAAGTGTACAATACCAGCCTCGCATAAAAAGCACATTGAACAAACTGAACCATTACAACCAAATGACCAAAAAATTTTTTATTACAGGTTTAATTTTAAGAGAAACAAATAGACTTAAATGTTTCTTTACATAATCACTTTACGAAAGATGAACAAAAATTTAATGATTCGTCAAAAATTTCAAAATCTGTAGGGAACCATCATATACATATATAAAAAGTTTCAAACAATAAAATAATTATGTTAAGCTAGTAAGCTTTTCAATTTATAACGGAGAATACAGTACCTTTTTAAACTATTAATGGTCTAAATTACAAAAAAGTGATGTACCAGATGATTCATACTTTGAGTCTTGGCTTACATGATTATTTCTCAAAATGTAATTATTATAGAAATTTATTATGTTCACACATTGTTCGACTTGTCAGTCTCTAACCAACTGAAACATTTCATTGAAAAAGTATAAATCTATTGTCATTGAACAGCAGATATATTTGATAAAATACACATTTAATTAAAGTCTCATATAATACAAATAAGTGATACATTGTATTTAAAATCTTATCTTAATTTAATAATTTATTAATTTTGATAAATGTTCTGTAGTGTAGGACATGTCCGTCTTTAACCACCAGAAACATTTCATTAAACAAAAATAGTATATATCAAAAGTTTATGTTTGGTGTCTTTAAACACCCGATATATATTAAAGGGAATACAAATTTTAATGAAATTCCCTTTTTCGCAATTCACTATTTAACATTATCATAACATCAATGTTGTTTTATTTTTTTTTTACACACTTTCTTCTGTAAATGAGAATTTTAATTATATGCCAACAAATGTTAATGAATCAGCCTCAGTTTATTCAAATATGTAACATTTAAATTCTTATCTTAACACTGACATTAAGTGTTTAACACTTGGTGTTTACAGGTCACATAATTTAATTTAATACACTTGTTACTATATATAGTAACACAATTGCCTATGATTTCAACTGGTTATGAGTGTCACGTGACCTATTATGAGTTTGCGGCCCGGGGCCGAGAACTAGTTATCAGCCCGCAGAACATGTGCACGTGCACAAACTGAAACAATGACGTCATATTTTACGTCATCAAACAGTTAACTGTAAAAGTGAAAGTAGGTTGTCAGCACGAATCGCTTTATTTTTATTATGAGTGCTTTTAAAAGCGTATTTAGTACAAACACATTTTTGTTACTATTGAAATTTGAAGAAATAATACGACAAATTTATTCCGAAATAAAAAGAAAGAAAATAAAACTTGCTTGAGCTTCTAGATTCTACTGCTTTGAAAACACAAACAGTAAACATCTCTGTACAGAACTGTAGAAGAGTAGACAAGAATTTCAACGAAAGAACTTTGTTCTTTTTTTTTTAAAAAAAAATGCTACTATTAGATTTACCAAGTGTATTAAAGACATTAATACACGTCAGAGTAGGGCCGGAAGGTGATAATCGGCCCTGAATTAATAATGGCCCTCGGGCTAAAGCCCTCGGGTCCATTATTCATTTTACGGGCCGATTATCACCTTCCGGCCCTCTCCTGCCGTGTATTAACCTCTTAATGTACCCTAATAAAAACAAATGAATGTTTATTCAATGTTGCTTATTGCTATAAAGAATTATAATTAAACTACATGTACATGTATTATTCAGATCTAAATGAGAAGTTCACAACAAAGGTACAGATATATCTAAGACTAATAATTTTTGACACTGCAGAATTTACATGACTTTCCGCGCCATAAGTAGCACCTAATTTCATATTAAAGGTTTTGATTGATCACATTTGATAAAAAAAAACGAGTAACAATCTTATAACAGACAATTTTATTCGTTGCTAAGTACTTGTTTTCACCTCGGCTATTTTTAGAATATCGGTTTCTACGGGAAGTGACGTCACGCCGACCTTACCAATACGTGTAATTTTAGAATTAGTTAGCGAGAGGAGTCAGTAAATGTGTAGGTTTAACTACTTTTTTAATAACCCTTATCAACTTTTCGCATTCTTTACAGGTTTCCCCATTTCTATGTTTTTATTTATATTCATGTGGACTGTCTAATCTGTGAAGCGTACACAATACACAAGCGATGTGTGTTAAACATTTGGAATAGGCTGATGCTTAAATAAATATCAAGGTAAGTTCAACTTTTTTAACAATACTATATCCGTGTGAATAATCTTTACTGTTAGTAATGTAAATCGTATTTTGGTGTTAATTGGGAGTAGCCTACTAGATATAAATGTAAAACAAATGGTGGAACGACCTACTGACCTCCAACTTTGTTTATAAACATTTCATAACTGTCGACCAAAATGAATTTCTTTCAAACTGTGTTAAATATGGCAAGCCAATACTCGATAGCTAGTACATCTAGTACCATACCATAGGTATATGGAGAAACTAGTTTTTTAAATGAGGAATTTGTTGATGAATAAGATATCGTCCATTGACCTTTTCGAACACCTAGCTAAACACCGTTATCCGGTACGTTACGGATTTAATTACACCAAAATGAAGTGCATAACAGGATTACATGATATTTCTATTTTTCTATAATTATGTTACCGTTTAGGGTGAAAAAACTGATGTGTTTGAAAATTATCAATATTCCTTTAATGTCTATTGCCAATTAAAAAAAAATGTTTATAACGAAAGTCGATAAATTTAAAAGAGTCGTAGTGTCATCTTCCATAATAAACATATATATTTTCTGCGTAAACTTGGGTATTTGCTTTATTTTTGTATGGAATTATTCATACAATGATATGTAATAATTTTCTTACAAAGAAATAAATGTTTTATTTCACTTTAATTAAAAAAGGCCAAAAACATAAGAGTTCATTATTACACTCCATTAGGTGAATTCCACAGACCTATGTACATAAAGTACCGGAAAGCGGCGTTACAGTAAGCTAGGATTTCGAATCAGTAAATCATTTATATTTTAGTAATTCTGAATTGAATGACAGCAGCCCTAATGATGTAATTTATTTTCAGAAGAAAGTGATGATAATTTTGATGATGATGATGATGATGATAACGATGATGTGAATAGACATTTAGATTGTTCTAATGATGAATCTGTAAACCAACAGTCTGAAATAGAGCCAATTTATGATAGTGCACCTTGTGATAGGAAACATGTGTTTCAGCAAAATTTTAAATCAAATACTTAGACACAGTTACAGTTCTTTTGCACTGAACTTTTATTTAATGAAATATGTCTACCTACACAGTTTCTTGTTGATACCTCTTAGAGTTTCAGAGCTATGTCCCGGACAAAGTTCAATGTGTAAAAATAAACAAAGGGCAATAACTTTAAAAGTAGGCAAGGAAGAGTGATGGTTCTTTTGCAATGCACTTCTATCCGATGAGAACTATCTACCTATAAAGGTTCATGTTGATATCTCTTAAAGTTTTAGAGTTATGTCCCGGAAAAGAAAATCGGACGTACGGAGGGACAAGGCGGTTACTATACGCTCACCCTTTGGGGAGTATAAAAAACCGTATTCTATTAAACTGTTAAAAGAATTGTAAAATTATACGTTTTAAGTTCAATGCCATTAAATGTTTGGTTGAAATATATTTTCTATTTTGAAGAATAGCCCCCTCATCATTGCAACTGCAACTGGTAGTATGACTTAAACTAGAGGATGTTTTTGTCATAAAAACATTTGTTTCTCTCATATGTAATCTCAGGACTGGACAGCGGTATGTAAATCCATCCAGCAGTTTGATCTATGAAAGCAGCACAAAATGTTTGTATTTGTAGCCTTGGAGGCTATTTTGTTTTGTGAAGTGAAAAACGACAGCAATTTTCACAACTAAGTTTGTTGTGATCACTCCTGTGAAGTTTCGTCTAAATCCTAGTTTGACCTATGAAAGCCTGACAAGATTTTTTTTCTATGATAGCTCTGGCAATATTTTTGTGCAGTGAAGCTGTACAAACTTATAATATAAGTTTGGTACTGATCATTCCTGTAAAGTTTCATTGAAGTTAAAGTCAAAAACAATATTTTGGAAAACATAATATATTTTACTATAATTATTGCCGTTCCTGGACGGCGATATTTACAATTAACAAGATTTGAACAGTTCTACCTGTACACCGCTTGTCTTTAGCCAATCAAAGCGATTTACTCAATATCACATGATAAAAAATTGGACGTCAAAAAACTTAAATGGGAGATGCTTAAATGGACCTCGCCCAATCGCCATGTAAAATACCATTATCAACGTACGAACTTAGTACCAGTCTTAAGTCTCTTGCAGGATAAACACAGGAATTGGAAATAATTTTTGCTACATGCCATTTCTGATAAAAGTTGTCTGTATGTAGTAAATGTTGTCTTTATAAGAGTATATTTTGTTAAACTGGCACTTAAAGAAATAAACTTTATAAATGCTTTTTTCCTAGAGAGTTCAATACTATGAGTGTTTTTATTGCATCATGCCTTTAATATATAGCAGGTCAGTTATAGTCCGTTCCAGAAAAAAACGTAAAACAGTCGACAGAGTATATTTAAAGAATGTTCACATATACAATTTTAATGTGAAGCAAGCATAAACTGTTGTTTATTACTCAAGGAGCTACTTCTTTTTGCGATTGATGCACTTATTAAGTAGCGCATATAGTCTAACTTATTGTAGTACGAGTTAAGTTACTGTGATATTCTTCTCATGGGCAATACTGAGTATCTCCTACATTCTGCATGACCCAGAACAAAAAAATATCTCAGAATCTAACTGAGCGGACCAAGAACGGAATGATAGAGTAAACGGAGTATTTTTTTTGGCTTTATGTGTTGACCACTTACAATACAATATTAGGCAAGAAATGAAATATTATTTCTATATCCATGACTGAAAAGCAATTACAAGCATTTTTGGAAATGTTTATACTTGTTAAATAATTATAATACGTGTTTCTCGATTTCAATTATTCTAAAGTAACAGTGACCTTGACCCTTAGTAGAACGCCTAAATGTATGTCAATTCAAGGTCTCAATATATGTATGCTATAGACTAAATTTAATTACTGCTGCACCAGTAAAATATGTTAAAATGGAAATGACTGAGCTGATAATTTCAACCACTGGAATAATAAATTTCACCAATGCGCAATATCAAGAAGAATTTATTATTATAAGAAAACAGTTCCATTATGTAGCACAGAATGTGTATAACAAAAGCTGGATGTGGTACTGTTTGCTTGACTATTAACAGTGATTGATAGTAAAACGTCGAGCGTATGGATAATGTAGAAATTTTGAATTTGAAAAGGGCCATCATTCTACCAAAGTCCATGTAAGAGTTATGGGCCTTGGATAGTGACCTTTTTTACTTGAACATAGGTGTGAAGTTTCAATCCATTCCCTTTAATGGTTGGGGTGGTTCCAATTAGCACACAAAAATTATAAAAATAGCCTGAGTGAGTACAATCTTCAAATAGTCAGGCTAAAACCATCCAAGGTGTGCTTTTCAAAATATTTTCATAAATATATATTCTTCATTCTGCTATTAATTTAATAAAACATTCAGGAATACAACATTTAGAGTTTAGTGGACCTTTCTTGTTTTAGAATTATGTTAGAATATTATGTTTTAACATTATTATAGAACGTTTGACAGACAATTTCACAATTTAATTTAAACTTCAGTAGTTAACTTTACACACCAATCTCTATTTATTCTTTATAGGCTATGAGCGAATGGATATATAATTGTGTGTAATATTAGGAGTAAACAGATTTGTGACTGTAAAAATAGAAATTGTTATTGTAGAGCATATCGGATAAACTGTTGTTTTCCTCTATGCAAGTCATAGACAGAAGTTTCTTGATCCGCTTCCAAACATAGAAAAATATGTGCAAAAACAGTCTATTCTATTTTGCACGACCTCTCGTTTTCAGATTACTCACAGTTTTAAAACAAAATCAATTGATGACAATTTGTGAGAAGAGTCATTGTCAGAATAGTCTAGTGAATATCTTCAGTAGTTGTGGAGATAAAGTAACATTGCGAAACCTACTTTTCTAATATAAAAGGGGTATAATTTAGCCAATATATCTTCCAGTTAGCATTGACCATTTATCTGGACACATTTTACAATCAAAACCTGTCAACTTGATTAAAGTGTGAAAATTAAGAAACTAAGAAGTATATTTGGAAGAAAAAACAAAATAAATTAATAGCTAGTACTCATTAAATATGCTTCAGGATAAATCATGATAATTAGCATTACACTATTGTATCAACAGTCAGTTATAGGTGATAATAGATTTTAAATAATCCTCATACTCTGCCATTGTATAAATTGTATCAGTTTCATATATGTTTTATAATGTCTTACTAAAACAGCTGATGTTTGATGTTTCTACTCGTTCAAGTAATTTAGAACCTCTGAATTCCCCAATCTTCCAAAATTTGATATTTTTGGGTAGTCCCACAGGCGGTCAGTTTGTAGAAGTTAAGCTGCATATTTCATTTAATTAATTTGTGATTGACCGGCGCCTTTGGGTCAAAAAACAATCACAACCCAGTTCTTTACATAAGCTTGTTTTATACTTAGTTTGATTTCGGTATCTCATTCCTAACTCCAGTAATTTTCCGGAAACCCCTTAACGGACAGACAAACGAATAAACAATCTCGAGTTTAAGACAAAGCAGTCCCGTACCAAAGCTCGGCCTTCTGTCCAAAAATAACATGGCTGACATAACCACTACTGTGAAAAGTTATGCAATGTATAATTATGTACATAGATAATTTAGAATGTAAATGAGTTCAAAGATCAACAAGGCAAAGGCAACGTTAACATGAAGCTTCGCTTTGTTAAAGGTATCTGCAGACCAAAATTAACTCAAATTTTAGGCATTTTATCCTTATTATAATTGGGCATTTGTGTATTTTGAATGATTACTCTTTATTTCTGTAAAACTTGTGATATAATCGGAACAATAAGCTGAATCCTTAAGAAAATTGCAGCGCCATTTCAAGCTATCTTCGAAGTTAACTTTATTTCTTTAAGACTTTTTTATTTTGCACTGTAAGGCTTATCAAATTTTAACAACACTACATATATTTCATCGTTATTCCCGGATAAATCTTTAACCCATAACTGCATGAGCATTTTGTGAAAAATGAATGTTTTCATCGAAAAGTGTCTCGTACAAGTTCAAATTGCTGTAAAACTGTAAAAACTGCTTCAGTACTAATCAAACTAGGCATAATTGTTTACTGGAACATTGCCTTTGTAACAACATGCTCAGTCTTAAATTTCCTGTTACCATTGCAACGAGTGAACATCTCAAAATTGTCAAAATCACTATTTTGAGTTGATTTTCTCCATCAAAATTGATTTCAAAGTAATGCAAATTCTCAATGGATTCAGATAGAGACATTTAATGCTTTTGAGCGTTGGTTACACGTTACCTTATGATCGACCTGGGATCAGTTTTAGCCTCTCAAAAGTCCAAAATTTTCTTGGCGATGAGGAGGACTGCCGCCCCCTTCTAACCGCCTAAACAAAAGGGGGCACATCCTCCTTCTGGCCACCCCCTGATGTACATTTTTGATTGAGGCGTCGCTGAAAAAGTGTTCACTTTTTTATTAACATTTCTCAAACGAAAACATATGTTTGGGTCCTAAACATGACTTTTTTTCACTATTTGAGGCCTAAAAGAGGGTGGGGTCGAAACTTTGTTGTTTCGCGTATATATGAGGTAAAGGGTTAACAAAAATGATGACAAGAACGAGACATTTTTTCACTATTTGAGGCCTAAAAGAGGGTGGGGTCGAAAGTGCGTTGTTTCGGTATATATGAGGAAAAGGGTTAAACAGAGATAATCAAATTTAGATTCACATAAAGAACGTATAATGGATATGTTGCACTGGAAATAGAAACAGATAATACCGTGACTTTGAAATGACACGAAAATGAATGAAAACTTTGTTTGTTACTACAGAAAACTTCATTTATTTTCCTAGTTACTAATGACCGAAGTTAATTCATACCAGCCAGTTGACTATATTCACGGAAAGTCTTCACTGTTATCTTCATAGAAGGGCTTTTGTTCGCTTTTTCATTTTTTGATAGGGGAGGGTTTTATTGGAAGGGTTTTATGCGCTTTTAGACACTCTCACTCCTATAATTATAACCCTTCCCAGACTTTGTATCTATGTGTATTTACCAAATAAAGTTTAAGTTCGGTTAGAGGTACACCATATCAGACAAAAGTATGATCAAGGCCCTAACAGGCCAAATGCAGGTTCAGTAAAATACCACCAATTATTTGTTGAAAGTGAGTTCAAACAGACAGCAGAAAATTCTATAAAGGGAATGATACTCAGTTCCATAAAATGAAACAAATCATTTTGTTAATCAGATCATTAAAGTTAGCTTTTATTAGTAATTTATTGAAATTAACCAGAAATTGATCTTATACCTTTGATTGTGAACTTATTGAATTATTCATTGAACATTGTAACTTAATTATACTTGAAAATGATTGATAATACATGTATGTACTTATACATTAAAATGGAGCAACACACAATATTAGACAGAAACATTCTAGACTAATAAACAGCATATTTTTTGTGTATTTCAGGTAAATAATGGCTGTTCCTGGTAAAAAGGCATCTCAAAATTTCTCATCTACACTATCTCGAGGTGGTGCTGAAGATTTTGACATTTATTGTCAAATATGTGATAGAGATGATATCAGACTTCCTGCCTTTGGTTACTGCGTAGATTGTGAGGAACATCTATGTCAATCTTGCTTCAACACTCACAGACGACCAAAACCACTACGCCATCACCAACTTTTAGATAAAGATCACATGCCACACAAACAAAAACTGAAATCTACTTCAAGTCCACAGACAAGTGATCTTACGAAGCCTTGTACTAAACACACCAAAGAAATGATCAAATTCTACTGTCATGACCATAATACACTTATATGTAGTGTATGTGTGACACTTGAACACTCACCAACATCCTGCCATGTGGACTACATACCAGATATATCAGCACAGATTATAGACAGCATCGAGTTCAAGGAAACTTTGAAAGATATTAATAAATTGACAGATAAATGCTCCCAGATAACAAGTGACCTGAAACAAAAAGTTGCTAAATCAACAACTTCTCTGAAAGATGCTATAGCAGAAATTGAAAACTTCAGAAAAGAGATAAACAAGAGATTAGATGAACTAGAAAAGGAGGTTAAAGATACTGCTACAGCAATCCAACATGACAACAACGAAAAGTTGAAAACAACAGAAACAGCATGTGGTGACATCAACAAATCACTTCAAGCATCAGCTTATACTCTGAAACATCTCAATTCAAACAAGAAAACTGACCAACTGTTTACTGAACTTAAGATAGCTCAGCAAATGATTCAGGATAATAACAATATGATATCACAACTTACAACAATCAATGGCATTGATGACTACAAATTTGAACCAAATCAAGACATCAAAAAAATCCTTCAGAATGAGAAAACTTTAGGAACATTTAGCTCTAAAAAGCTTAAGCACCCAGCTGAACCAAAGAATCAAGGTGCAGTAGCAGCGAAAATGTCTACCCCTAGAACCATTAATGTTAAAACATCGTTAGATAAAGAGGATTGCTGGATTACTAGTATTGCTGTTTCTCCTCAAAATCAATTGTTTGCTATAGATTTCAGCAATGAATTTATAAAAAAGATAGATATGAAAAGTGAACATATCAAAAGCCTAAAGGTTGGACCAGGACCGACAGATCTTACAATAATCACAGCAGATACAATTGCTGTTACATTTCCAGAATTTAAAACAATAAAGTTTTTTTCACTTTCATCAGACTCACATCCACTGAAGAACAAACTGAAGGTAGCTGGACAGTGTTATGGTATCAGTCATCATCAGGGAAAACTGGCAGTAACATTTGAAAAACCTGGTAAACTACAAATCATGGATCTGGAAGGTAATACTGAAATTACAGTTCAAAAAGATTCTAATGGTGACAACATTTTCAGTCAACCTTGGTATGTCACAACAAACAACCATTCAATCTATGTATCTGACTGTAGCAATGATGTAGTTCTACGATTTAACTGGAAGGGAGAGATGATTGGATTAGTAGGAATTGAAGGATCAACTGGTATAACTCTGTTAGATGATGGTTCTCTCTTAGTGAATGATAGAAATAATAAGTGTATACATAGAGTAAGTGGTGACTGTAAAGACAGTAAAACTGTACTGGAGGATTTAGATCATTCACAAGCTTTATGTTGGTGTGCAGAAACCAGTACACTTTGTGTTAGTAGATTTAACAAGCAAAGTGATGATAATTATATCAAATTGTATAAAATGATGTAAAAGACATGGCAAAACATGGCATGTCACTAACAATGCGATAAACACATCAGAAAGGCATCATTCATTGTTCATTGATAGGAATTATTGTAGCATTATGATATCACATTTAACTTTTGTTTTGTTGATTTATGGATGCACAGAGTAACAGATTTTTGTTTACAAAATAAGTAATATGTTTTATAACTATTTTGAAATTGTGAAAAATTATAGCAGAAAACAATTATGTATAATGCAGAATATATATTGATTGACACTAAAATGCTCAAAATACAGAACACTTTAAATGTTGACCTAATACAAATGTTTCTGAACCTTTCCAGACAAAACGTTTTTTGTTGTTTTTTTGTTTTGTTTTTAACAGAAAATATGAAGGTAAAAATATGCTTCAGTGATCAATTTGTAGAATTTTATGTGATATAAAGAAATGATTTTATTTTCTATTGAGGTTTTGATACACAAAAGTAAAATTATAACAAATATTAAGATGTAACATTAATATTGTGATTTTGTATGCAAAAAAATGTATCAATTTTGCACACAAAAAGACAGAAGAAAGAGAAAAAATGAAAATGGGTTTGCAGTATATGTTATATTTTTCACTATGCACTGCCAATAGTCAACATGTATTTTATATTTGTCAATCCCTTGAATTGTTTGCTTCTTAGAAGAAAAACTGATGATAAGAAACAATGGGACAGTATGATATAAAAGATATGGGTTTTTGATGCTTTGTAAATTGTATGCCATGCATCGCTAAATTTAACAATTTTAAAAGAAATTTAAGTATTGTGACTCTAATCATTTTTTTTTCATGTGAAATAAGATTCAGCATTTCTAAAATTGTCATTAAAAATCATTTTAAAGCATAATGCTATAACCAGACCTCAAGGTAATGATAATATTTAAACAAAAAACATTTTCTATAAAAATGTTTTTAGTTTTCATATTTTTAATGCAGACATTTTTTTAAGGCTTAGCATGTTTTCTGATAAAATAAAAATAAAAATAATAATTAAAATAAATATATTAAAGAATGCAAAAACAGGTGTTTTTCAAAAATGTGCATAAAAACATCAATGTTGATGACACTTCTTATTCATAATCTGTTTTTTGCAAACGTTCTATAATTCTAGAAATTTGGATAACCAATAATTGGATGTTCTACACATCAAAATGAGTAAACAGAATTTCAGGAAATCAAACCTTAGTAAAAGTAAATTCAGAGGTTTAGAATTGTATAAATGTTCATACTTCATATATAACTATACAATGAATTAAAGATATACTATGCTCATCCATGAGTAAAATATTTTAATCACAGAAATTTATTGAAATCCATGAAATTCTAACTGAATATGTCTAATATGAATATAAGAATGAATAAACTAGGTATAGGAAGCTGTGGTCCCTATTACATGTCAAGTAAAGTTGGACGTATTTTCTTTAAAAAAATGCCAATTTTTTTTAATGACACTATATTATCATATTGTGACAACCTATAGTGTGGAGGATGTTAACATAACATATCTACTTTGTGTAAAGTCAAAACATGTTTATTTAATATTCACAAAAGCATTGTCAATATTTTCATATATCAAATTTGAGTATAGTATATCTTTAAGCAAAAATTTACTGAATTTATTATTTACTATTTTCATCACCACATTTTGGGGGAAAATTGCATATTTGACTGATATAAGGTAATAATATGTGAGGAATATAAGTGCATTATGATAGCTGTAATGATTTTATCTGTTCATTTGACAACAACTTTCCTGTATATCGTATGAGAGCCCAAACTGTTTTGATTAAAACTATAATAGCCTGTTGGTGGCAACTGCTTATATCCATGCAACCAGTGCAGACCAAGATTAGCCAGTCAGTTAAGCTAACTGTGCCATCTGATCATGGTCTGCACTGTTTACTATTTAGGCAGATGTAATTTCAAAAGATCCCTATAATGATAAATGGTGTTGTCCAGACTGAAAGATGGAAAAGTCCATTTAAGATATTCAGTGTGATAAGGGTTAATAGAAAAATCCCTTTGACAAGTTTAAGACAATATTTTTGTTGTATATAGAATAATTGCATTAAACATTTAAGCAATGAGTTTTATGTTTTTATTTAATTTTCCTGTGCATTGAAATCTGATGGGTAGCAATTTAACTTTAATAGTAAACTATAAATGTTACAAAGAGTTGTCAAAAAAGTGATGTATTATCAAAACCCCACAACTTCTTTTTCTATGCATGACACATGATTTAATGTCAGTCCACTTATCCCTATACTTTAATGTGATCATTTAAGTTAAGTTTGAATAAAGTTCTTCAAGGATTAAAGAGTTTATTAAACACACGAAATTGTTTGACATTTTACATTCAAGGCATTCTTAATCTTAAGTAAGGGCATGATGAGGTGTATATTTGAGACAGGTTTGTAGAGAATTCTGAACGAAGGGTAAAGGACATGATCAGAAGACACAAAAACATACATGAAAAAGTGATTCCAGTAAAAATATTTAGAAATCAAAGTCCTAAAGCACTGCTATACAAAAGTTAGTCAGAAACTCATAAATGCAAGCAGTTTGTTTTTAAAGTTTAATGCAATTGAAATCTTAAGTTGAAATATATTTTGTATTCTGAAGAATACAGATACAGTCAACAGCTTAGTGCCATCACTAGAGTTGTACTCCCTCAATCGTTTAAACTGGTCTCATTGTTTTCATCAGATTGATCCAGTTTTATCTATTTAACATTACTTAAAATCAGAGGGTAACTATATGTAATGTCACATGACAACATTACTTTTCAGCTCCCTGACATTATCAAATGGTTCTTATGCTAGGGTGGAAAAGATTTTTTTTTCAAATAAAGAAGAGATCCATTCATGATATTTGTGAAATTGTTGGGAACATTTTTCATCAAAATTTGAATAGCATCAGTAAGCCTTGAAATGTGGGTTCTTCACACTGACTCGAAATGATTAACATGATTATGAACAAAGCAAGAATATAAAAATTATAAACTTTAATATATTATATTCTGTGACAATTTGATTAATGACATTACATTCTATAACAATTTGATTCATAACGATATGTTCTGTGACAATTTGGATTATGATATTTGATATATTGGGTGGACATTTGATTTATGACAAAATGCTTAATGCTACTCACTCAGATTCACTTTGGAAAAATTGCATGTGGAGAAGTTTGCAATTATTTGTGGAGAAAAATATTGTCATGCTGCTGGATGTGGGAAAACGAACAAAAATTAATCAAGAAAACTTGAGTTATTCAAATATTGTATAAAATTTGTCACACTTTTGTCAAACATGTACTAGACAAAACATAATTATGAATTTCATAGCGAAGATATATGTCATATCAAGATCTATCCTTGGGATTGTGAAGAAGGACATTTTATTTTTGGTATCAACTGATTTGACTTCACATTGTGAACAAGCTATAAAATTCCATTCATGCCAATTAATTTGACTATTTAATACAAACTTGAACATATTAACTAGACTATAGTTTAATAATATCCATATATATAGTCTAGTCTAGTCTATCCACTGATATAAAAACTTTACAAAGTCAACTACCGATTCAAAAGCCAAAACTTGTTCAATATTTGAAGTATCGTGTTGCATGATATAATTGTACACACACAAAAGAGAATTCAATATTTTACATGTTTGTAAATCCATACATGTATATATATATATATATATACATGTATGGATTTACAAACATGTAAAATATTGAATTCTCTTTTGTGTGTGTACAATTATATCATGCAACACGATACTTCAAATATTGAACAAGTTTTGGCTTTTGAATCGGTAGTTGACTTTGTAAAGTTTTTATATCAGTGGATAGACTAGATGGGAATTGATTTGTTAGATAAGAAATATTTACTAAACTTTGTGTATTTAAAATATCACAGCATAAGCAGGATAAATGGTGAGTTTATAATATTATTTATCAAGCTAATAAAGCTCAAAATTACAATATCTTATTTTATTAACATTATAACATTGACCTATAATAACCCAGACAATAATTTTCCTGTACCCCTCCCACATCTTTCCTGATTTTCAATGTAACTTGGTCTAGGGTAGAGGTGAGCATAAAAGATTTTGCTATAATTAATGTGAAATCAGTTCCCTACATGATAAAATAATCTAAAATCATGCTTTCAATATATTACTTGTAGTTTACATAAAAGCTTAGATCAGGTGGTAACATATTATTTTGGGCAATATCACTCAATGTTAAATTTTTTCTGGCAAATTCACTGCTGGTCATAAATAACTGTATGCTATGTGTGTATTTCAGGTGAATAATGGCTGTTCCTGGTAAAAGGCATCTAAAAAATTCTCATCTACACTATCTCAAGGTGGTGCTGAAGATTTTGACATTTATTGTGAAATATGTGACAGAGCTGATATAAGGCTTCCTGCCATTGGTTACTGTGTAGATTGTGAGGAACACTTATGCCAATCTTGTTTCAACACTCATAGGCTACCAAGACCACTATGCCATCACCAACTCTTAGATAAAGATCACATGCCACAACAACAAAAACTCCATAGATCATCGAAATTCACTTCCAGTCCACAGACTGGTGATTTAACAAAGCCTTGTACTAAACACACCAAAGAAGTGATCAAATTCTACTGTCATGACCATAATGCTCTTATCTGTAGTGTTTGTGTGACCCTTGAACATACACCAACATCCTGTCATGTGGACTACATACCTGATATATCAGGGCAGGCTTTAGACAGCACTGAGTTCAAGGAAGCTCTGAAAGATATTGATAAATTGATAAACAAATGCTCTCAGATGACAAGTGACCTGAAACAAATAGTTGCTAAATCAACAACTTCTCTGAATGATGCTATAGCAGAAATTGACAAATTCAGAAAAGAGATAAACAAGAGATTAGATGAACTAGAAAAGGAGGTTAAAGATACTGCTATAACAATCCAACTTGACAACAACAAAAAGATGAAAACAACAGAAACAACATGTGATAACATCAACAAATCACTTCAAGCATCAGCTGATACTCTGAAACATCTCAATATAAACAAGAAAACTGACCAATTGTTTGCTGAACTTAAGATAGCTCAGCAACTTATTCAAGATAATAACAATATAATATCACAACTACAAACAATCAATGACATTGATGAGTACATCTTTGAACCAAATCAAGGTATCAAGAAAGTCCTTCAGGATGAGAAATCATTAGGAACATTAAGCAGTAAGAAAAAGAAACACACAGCTGAACCAAAGAATCCAACTATTGTAGGAATGAAGTTGTCTACTCCTATTAAATATATCAATGCTAAATCATCCTCAGATAAAAGTAATTGCCGGATTTCTGGTATAGCTGTTTATCCTCAACATCAATTATTTGCAGCAGATTTCAAAAATCAATCTATTAAAATGATAGACAGTATAAATGGAGATGTTCAAACAATTAAAGCTTGACTCGAAACCCTGGGATATCACCATAGTCACCACAGATTTTCATTTGCTGTTACATTACCAGATAGTAAAACAATACAGTTCATTTCCTTCTCCCAGACTCACTCTCACTGAAGAACAAACTGAAGGTAGATGGAGAGTGTAATGGTATCAGTCATCATCAGGGAAAACTTGCAGTCACATATATAAAACCTGGTAAACTCCAAGTCATGAACTTGAAAGGTAATGCTAAAATTACAGTTGATAAAGATTCCAATGGTGGCAATATATTCAGTCATCCTTGGTATGTCACAATAAACAGTCATTCAATATATGTATCTGACATACAAACCTGCAGTTCTACGATTTAACTGCAGGGAGAGATGATAGGGATCATTAGGAATTAAAGGGACCCAGTGGTTTATAACACTGTTAGATGATGGGTCTCTTTTGTGAATGGTTACACAAGTGATTGAATATACATAGAGTAAGTGGTGACTGTAAAGACAGTAAAATTTACTTGAGGATGTAGTATAGACCTTATGCTGCATGTTGGGTGTGCTGACCTAGTACACTTTGTATGAGTAGAAGAAAACATTGGCATTGATGACAGTGATAGCAATTATATCAAATTATATAAAATGATGTAAAGGACATGACAATATATGACATGACAATAACAATTGTATAAGTGCATCAGATCATCATCATTCGTTCAATACATTACTATAAAAAAATTATTGAAACATTATAAAAAA